TGTGTGTGTGTGGCCAGCTCAGCCGACCAGGGGGCAGGGCTGGCGGGCATGTGGTGCTGGGGATTGAACCGCGGTCCTTGTGCTTTGCTAAACTTGTTCTAAGTAGGTGCTTTAGACCACTGAGCCATCTCACCAGCCCCTACTTGTCATTTCTTTGTGGTGAGTAGCTAAACTAAAACTTAACCTCCTGTCTAGTTGAAACTTTGTACCCTTTACGAACCCCCCTGTTCACACGCCCATCCCTCCTCTGCTGACTGCCAGTGACTCTGCTTTGGGAGCTTCTTTCTTTTTTCTTTCTTTTTAATGTATTTAGTACAGGGTCTACAGGATTTCACTATGTAGGTCAGACTCAGTGATTTTCTTGTTTTCAGTGTCCCAAGTGCTGGCATTACAGGTGTGGGCCACCATGCTGTCTTTTTGTTTTGTTTTGTTGGAATCAGGGATTGCACTCAGGCCTTTGTGCTTGCCAGGCAAGAGCTTATTCTACTGAGCCATCTCCCCGGCCCTTTTGCCTAGTCTTAATCACTGTCTCAGTGTGCCCTGGGGGCGGGGCTGGCACAGTATGCCTGGGATCAAACCCTGGGAGCCAACCAACCTCTGAGCTCTGTGTAAGCAGGCGCGTTAGTCCCCTGAGCTATCTGGCCAGCCCTAGGGAGCTTCTTCTTGCTGTGCCTTTACAGTGAAGCAAGGCAGGAGCTCTAGGCGGGTGATGGTGAACCTTTTAGAGACCGAGTGCCTGGACTGCAACCCAGTACGCACGTGTTTATGTAAAGTGCTGATGCTGCAATCACGCCTAAAATTTTGACTTGAGTCCGGAGCGAACGGAGAGGGTGCTGTGTACTGCTGTGGCACATGTGCCCTCGGGTCGGTACCACTGTCCTAGGCGGCGTGTGTGATTGTAGTCTCCTGGGTGTCACTTCCTCGCCACACTGACATTTGGGGGCCATCAGGACTTTGTTCTGTGCTTGTCTGATACATATAGGATGTTTGGTGGCATCCCCGAGCTCCGCATATTAGATAGCTTTCCTCTTGCCTCTGTGACAGTCAGAAGTATCTCAGCACTGCCAGATATTCACTGAGAGCAAATTCACCCTTGTTCTGGGAACACTGACCTAAGCCTAGGGTATCTTGGCGGGAATATGTCGAATAGGATGGCGTTTGGGGATGTCAACCCTCATACCAGGAGCCATGCCTTACCTTTTCTCTGTGTGTGTGTGTGTGTGTGTGTGTGTGTGTGTGTGTGTGTGGTACTGGGGATTGCACCCAGGGCCTTCACAGCAAACAACACCCCAGCCCATTTTATTTTTCATTTTGAAGCAGGTCTTGCTGTGTTGCCCAGGCTGCGCTTGACCATATGGTTTTCCTGCCTTGGTCTCCGAGAATGCAGGGGTTACAGGCATGTCCCGCCATGCTGGGCTCCGTGCACTGCACTGTAGCTGTTGCTGCCTGTCTGCCAAGGGCTTTCCTCAACATTACTGTGGGCTATTTTATAACCAAGTTTATATTAAAAAAATAAATTATGGGCTGGTGACATGGCTCAGTGGTCTAAAGCACCTACTTAGAAAAAGCTTAGCTAAA